TTGAGGGTACCAATACTAATAAAGGTGTCTAAAGGTGGGTAGTGAAAAATTGATAAATTTCCATGGGACACTTATATAGGTATTTTCAAAACCATAAACATTTCAATGGCACCACTGATTATGCATTAATTTATGGAATATAATAAAGCCCCACAGAATGCAAAATCAATGGTTTTATTTCATATCAATTGTGCATACAGTTACCCATACAAAAGCATAATGACAGGACACACACACACCCACTCACATACTCATACGCACCGGCGGCCATTGCCACCGCAAGTGGCAAAATGACACTCGACGAGCGTGTAAGTGCATGTCAATCGTGTTTGGCGGGCGTCAATAAAAAGTAATTTCATCTCACATTAAAAACACGAGGAAGGCAGGACAACACGAGTGCAGGTGAGTACTTAAAGTTGGCACTTTAAAGGCAGCCGTTAAAACAGCGTTAATTATGCAATTGCAATTATCGCCAGGTTTATGGTTATAGCCCAGGACATTCCCGTTTACCTGGCAAGTTGGCCATAGCAAAAGAGGTACCCGAAATGAGCAACTTCAAATTAACTATGTATCGGTAGCAGGAAGTGCTCAAACAACAACAGAATACAAGAGAGGGCACACAGATACTCGTACATTTGCAATGGAATGACCTCGGGTCATCTGGTTTTGCAGTGCAACAATGGCAATGCAACAAAGGCCATTTGTGCCATACCTTAAACTTATTTTGCACGTACATTTTCCGACAACAATTTTAATTGAAATAATTTCTAAAAGCATTCAACATTTATTTTTGTTAATTACTGAAATGTATTTCTGTTCACACAATGTGTTAAGAGTAGCGCACAAAGCTAATTTCCAGTGAATTGCTGGAAAAAAGTGCACATTTTCAATGAATTTTATTTATGAATGTATTGTTGCCTTAAATGTCTTTTATTTTATTTTTGAAAGTCAATTTCAAAGTCAAAATTCCTTTACATTTATTTTTTAATTATTATTTATTTTGCTCATAGCTATTATTAAATTGGCGTCGGTCTTAAAAAGGTCTTCTTATTTTGTAAGAGTTTATAAGTTAAGTAACCGTATTAAGATCAATTCAAGATTATTCGTTACCAATGTCATTTGAATTTTTAATTCAATTATCCCCTGTCTATCCTCGTTTAATTTCGAATTATTCCAGGTTCTGATTTTAAATTTCCTTCTCACCATTTACATTTTTCGTATGTCAGTTGAAATCTATTCGACCAGAAATTTCCTCTCAACTTGTTAATTAAATGCTGCCTTCGCTGCGTGATTTCTTTTACCCCAAGGCAAAGTCCTTGCCATTCTCCCCAAAAAAAAAGGAAAAAGCATCGACTGCGTTTGGGCCGCTAATGTTGTTTGTGGGCCACAAAATTCACTTGGCAACATGTGCTCCATTCCGAGCCACAGAAAAAAATGTTTATTAGTTTAAACATATTTAAAAATAAAATATCTAAATATTAATAAAAAAAAAACAAAAAAAATAAAAGCAAATTAATTTATTATACATATATTAATATTGAAATTTCACTGTTAGGAATTATATTTTATTTCCTGTGTACCCATTTCGTATGCAAAGAGCCAAGTGTGTGCATGGCTTCAAAGCAGTTTCGTGTGCTTTCCCACGGTGCCTCAGACTTTTCTTCCATTTTCCGACTGCCTCAATCAATTTCAATTTATCAATTTTTACAATCAACTGATTTTATCAATTTTATGGCGCATTTTAAGACCACGCACAGACCAAGAGAAAAAAGAGAGCAAGCCAGATGGGCTGGCAGTGCCGCTGGGCAGGAATAAAAAGGACATGCGAAGGAGGAAATTTGACTGCCACTGCCAGTCTCAGCAGAAAAAAGAGAGAAACCAGCTTGCCAACGAAACATGTCAATAAAATCAACCAATGTCGTTCCCGGTTTATTGGTATCTTCTTGGTCTGGCTTTCTGTCCTTGCCACCAACTTCCTGTTTCCTGCCAAACTTTTCCCCGCATGTAAATAAGCATTTTCTTCGGTTTCCTCGATTGTTATTTCAGCTTTCGACCGGAAAGGGAAAAGTCTTGGCCCTTTGGCTGGTTTCCATGACTACTGATTTGACTCCACAAATAATCCACAGGTAAGTCGCTTAAGATTTCGGCAAGGTCTTAACCGAAATTATCATTTGGCTAGTCTTTTTGTCTCTTTTTAATAATACCGAAGATATTTATCTGGTCATCTTTGTGTGCCTAATCTGCGTAAATGAAATTGAAAAACGGCAAGCGCAATGAGTGTTTATTGTACTTATTCTGTTGAAATCTGTAATTTGTTAACTTCCACTTGATGGGCTTGTGGTTTGGATTAAATCATTTGGTTATTTAAGAAATGCATTACATTAATATTAAATGTATGCATTTGCAAATGTTATATATTTGTGTGTTCCATAAAATCAAAGCTTTTGCAAACATGGCAAAAAATTTACTAAGTTTATTTAGAGCGAAAGAACCAAATGAGAGTATATTTAAATATGATTAGCTTCAAAAAATTGTATCTTATAAAAGTAAGTTATGCTAACTCATTTTTTAGAGAACCGGAATGAAAAGAGTATTTGAACAGCCGTAAATGAAAACCCATGAATTATTGTAATGTTCCCTAATTTGTTTCTTGTTTCCCAGTTGATATTGATTACCAGGGCATTCTCAGCCTGAAAACTTCGACATTGGCCATAATTAACGGATAATTTGTGTCCCGGACAACGGCATCACATGGCCTGGCCAAAGCTCGTTTGGCCGGCATTCAAAGGAAGTGGGCGAGGTGGAGGTGGGGACTCCCCTCTCAAAAACTCACTAATTAAAGTCAACACTCGTGACTATGACCTCATTACAGGCAAATCTGTGAGGAAAAGCGGGAAAATGGGGGGTGGCCAGGGGGCTGGTGGTCACCTGGCGATTGTCTTCAAGTTGCCTTTGACTCGCCGTACACCCGATACTTTTTTCAAGTTCATTAGGGTAATGAAGCAGCCACAGGCCCATCCAAAGGCCTAGAACTGTGGGCCGGGGAAAAGGGAAGGGAAGCCCGGAATAAAGTGGCGTGCGCTTTACTTTATGGTCCTCATAACCACGTATATATAGTCGGTGCTCCAGTTGTTGGCTCTTTGCATAATGAACGGACATAAACACGGCACAGCCAACAACAGCCGACAGCTAAGGCCAAAGTTTTTTCCACATTTTCGTACTCTTTGCCACGGCGCACATGACTGCCAACAACTCGCTCTACTCGGCCGTTTCTGGTTATTACCCAGATATAATTTTAAATACATATTATATTTACTTAACGCAATTTCCTTAATTAATAAGAAACTTTCTGGGCTCCGGCTTGAATTCGGGAAGTTCTCTCAAGAGTTCGACGATGATTTGGCCAAAGGGAAATTAGTTTTCTCATTTTACTTTGGAGAGTAAAGCAAACAATTAACTTGAAAATTTTTATTTCATTACTTATGGCAATGAAAAGGTTTTTACAGAGAATGGCCAGTCTATTACATTTCTGTTGAATTAATCATTGAATGCATATAATTTGTACATAATGGTTTCAAACCAAAATATGGATTCATGGTGAGTAATTGATGACAAATGCATTTAAATTTAAGAATATAAGAAACGCTAGGACAAAAATAATAACAAACAATAAGACAAATAATTTAAAACACAAAAAAATCCTGTTATTCCATTTGACATTTCTTCAACTATTTGTCATTAAGATGGCTGAAATTCATTTCGCAATTGCTCAGTCAGGAATCGGATATTTATATAAATTATGGTAGCCCGAAAGCGGTTAGTGCTGCTTTAATTTTGGAGATGACTTTGATATGCAGTAAAATTGACTCTTTCAATTGGAGGCAAAGCATCATGTGTATGTTGCAAAATGATTTTTGGCTTATTGCTTGTTTACGCATTTTTGACCGCCCCCCACTCATAAATATGCACATTTGCAGCCATGGAAAATTTGCAAATGAAATATGGCCATCAATCGGGAAAATGGCAGGCCAGAAACAACAAGTGGCAAGCTGCCGATTCCCATGACGGACGGAAAACACACGGTCGCATATGTAATTCTCATGACTATTTAATGACGTTTAAAAGCACAAATTTTAATTGCAAAATACTTGTTAAGCATGAACGGTTTATATGGAAATTCGTTGCCTCTTTTCCCGCCTGGGACAATCGGTATATGGGCTTGCGTGTCACAAAATCAAGCAAGGTCAGAATGCTTTTCCCATCGCATTTGCCATTGACAATGAGGCCACATGTCCCCAAGCGAACGCTTTTGACCTCCATGAACAGTTTGGTTGGTCAGCAGGACTATCATTATTATTGTTTAATTTTAGCCTGCAGTCCAGAAGCCTTGGTATATAATTGGCCTATGAATAATTTGTAAGAGCAGTTGTCTTAAAGGGATTTAAATTGAGGGTCTTGAATACAGACAGTTGCGAAGGACATTGTAATTGCATTTCCCACTTGAATAGTGAGTTACTGTCCCAGGGCACTTTTAAATGCACACCTCCGGACGGCATTTATAAGCAAGATTTTCGATGCATTTCCAAGCCATAGACGTAAAACAAAAAACCAACTTTTCAAAACTCAATTTCCCATGTTAACACCAACTGAATTCCAAACATTTTTATAAGGTCAAGTATCGCCCAGAGCCAAGCCAAAATCTAATTAAACGTAATGTTGTGTAATCTTGTCATTCAAGTGACCAGCTTGCCCAGTGCGATTTGCGTAACTTAATATAGATTAAAGTTATGAAAGATTTTCCCAATCTATTTTGTTCGTCCTGCCATCAGAAGTGTCCTGGACGCACAAGGAGTTGGAAATTAAATATAAATAACATCATATTGACCCGTCTGGCACCTACGAGTGCCAGACTGAGATACACTGAAAATCCAAGTAGACCGTTGCTAAGGCTTTAATAAAATTTGATTTTCGGCAAGCCAAAGTTTATTTACCCTTGCAGCTTTTACAAAAATTAAACATTAGTTAAAACATTTAAATTTCAAATATTTTGCTCAAGTTTTGTTAGTTATTTTTCAAGACCATGTAGGCTAAATGGCGCAATGATCTGCTGCACAAAAAGGCCGTAATCATTAAACAAAGATAGCTGCCGTTGAGATTCCCCGATCCCGATTTTTTTGTGGAAGTATCCAACTCTGTGGTCTTGCAAGGACAACCCCCCATGTCCTCAAAATAATTACCAGTTTGGCAAATCGAACAGTCCGTTGTCGAGTCGGACTCAGGAAGTATCAGTTGACAACCAAGTTCTGATGACCAAATGCAGATATATTGAAAAGTCCCGCCGGAAACTGTATATAATAGGATAAGTCAATAAGAATTGTTGCTGGCCGTCATACCATCTCAATACCATCAACGTTTATGCTGGAAGGAATGCACACATCCAAATCATCTGTTAACGGATTGCTTTTACTGGCGTCTTTCGTACTCTTTTTAGATGATATTGCCACGTAATATCCTGAGTCACCTTCGATAGGGCAACGCTCTCTACTATATTCCGTGCAGTCCTTACACCTTGCCTTGCTCTTATCAAACCTGGCATAGGTGTAAAAAAGGCCTAGACCGAAAATAACATATCGAAATATGTGATTACTTGACATTTTTGAAAGACAAAAATTGTTGTGTCTGACTCAATGAAAAAATTTTGACTTTGAAAGCATTTGAAACCTTTAATTCAAGGACGTGTTTTTTGAAAACAAATTTGATTACTTATGCTTAATGTTAAAAAGGAATGAAGTCATAATTTTTCTAAACTTACACAGACGGAGATCGCTAGATCGACTCTCGGCTTTAATGATGCTGATCAAGAATATATATACTTTTTAGGCTCGTAAATGTTGCAAATTTCCGACTTGCGTAAAAACAATTGAATAACACATAGACCACTATTTTTGTTTACGAATTTTCTTGTGCTTTCGCGTTTTATACGTATGCCCCTATGTTTAGAAATTGTTCTCTATGTAGGAGTTTTTGCAATTCATTTTTCTGAAGAGCTTCTGGTGCCTTCAAACATTAAATATAAATTAGGTCTGTTAGGGTCGACGGGGGAGTGGCTTTCTGAAGGTTGTAGGTCAAAGGCAAGGCGAGAACAAAAGCCAAGTACGATGTCCTTGCATGCAAATGTTGTCTTTGACAAGCAAAGGATAACAGTATTGATTATAAGTGCAGGGATATCGGTGAGTTGTGTTTACAATTTGTTTGCCCCGAGTTTCCCAGGACAACGAATCGACATTGCGACCTCCGTCTGCCTTTCACCCTTTCTGTGTTCTCTGTGCCATTTCTAATGGCTTTTTAATTGAAGAACAGAATTCAATGAATAAATAAAAGATAGTTGCCAAAGCATTTGTTTGTCCTCTGCACTCTGGTACAAAGTTAAAATGGTTAAGGAAGCTCCAGCAGACAGACAAAAAACTGATAAAGTTTGAAAGTCAGGAAAAAGGAAATTTTCTAATTGAGTTAAACTTTTGCGCCATTATGAATATGGGGAGCGCAAAACTTTCCCCTCTAACACACATGTGTCTGTGCTTACAGTCCAATGAATTTCCATGAGACTTTTAAAGTTTAAAAAACTGATTTTGGTCAATAAAAATTGTTTGCCCAACCTTCTTTTGGGGCAAGCTACTATACTACTTTATTTATTAATAGTTGTGGTGCATTTTAAAAGCGTTTTTTTATGAGTAATAAATGTTCACATGTGTATTTTAATCATTGTAATTTTGTTAGATTAAAGAGAGTTTATTTTTAAGAACAAATGTAGCTCTTAAATTTATGAAACCACAATTCTAACAATGAACACATAACACATGTAAAAGCTAAGCCACGTTTAAATGTATAAACACAAATATAAATATACCTTTATTTATTCCCCATTGTTTTGCCGACTGTCTAATTAAAACGAGTCACGTACAGTGGAAATTAAAAGCGAACAACAATTTTGCTGACCACAAGAGTTCATGGGTTGGCCTCTGTGGGTAGCCCATGGAAATGGGTGGTTTTCTAACCCCATCCCCTTTCTAAGTCTGCTCTCATTCAATTTCATTTCACGCAGGTGTGGCTCGATCACCAATCAAACTGGAATTGACTAGAAAATTGTAATTAAATGGCAGAAATTGCCATAATAATTATTGTCGGCGGAGATGACAACACTGATGATGCCACTTTAGTGACGAATCAAAGGAACAACTCAGCTCATTTGTAACCTGACATGTGGTGGTTGCCCACAAGGATAATGAGGTGGATCTGCTGCCACTTGCGAAACTATCGGGCCAGACATGATGTAATTACCACTCAGTTTCGGATTTAAATTTCGTTCTTGTCTAACCCTTTGACTAACAGTCTTACACGGAAAAAAATAATTATAAATAAAGTTATGTGCGATACAATGCCTTTTAAATTGTTAATAAGTAAAACCAAACATTGCTGACCAGATTTAAATATTTTTAGGAAATTATAAATATTTTTTTATAAACAAAAATTTACATAGCAGTAAACGTATTTATATTTATTACTTCTTTGCAATTTTTTTTATAATAACCGTTCTCCAAAGAAATGATAAATTTTAATATTTTCATTGAATGGATTAAGGTATCAACGTAAATTAAAGTAAAAATAATTGACTTATGTAATAGTATCAAATAAAATTCGACAAGTAATTATCATTGAAATCCATTTATATATAAATTAATACCAACTTTATAGTAATTTTTACCCGTGCTAGCCATGTAATGAGTTGTTCATTTGGGGCCGTCGGCAAGGCAAAGTAACTGCCAAAAGTCACCACTTTCCAGGTTGCGTGTCTGTGTTGGCCTGCTCCGGTTGGCTTTTGACTGGTTTGGTTTGGCAACCACAGAGTGCCACAGTTTTGGCAGGAAACCGCACCAACACGTGCCCAAACAACGAAGGCAACGGCATGAGAAATGGCAGCAGTCTGGCAAGTCCTTCGGCCTTATGCTTCTTGGCAAACCGAGCTCCTTTGTCTATTTCGATTTGGTTAATTATATATCAGTGGACAGTATTACGTTTGGGTAACATCTTTCGGTAATGATCTGAGGTTTGAGTGGTGTTGCTCTTGGCTGCTTGATTAAAGTTTGCCTCGAACGTAAAGAAATAAAGGTTTTTGTTAAGGGGTTTGGGGGCTTTTGAATTAACGACCTTATCTGGTGTTAATTTGTCGGAAATGGAGGCTTACCAATTCGATTCATGAAAAATGAATGAAAAAAAAAACGTTAGATGGATTTAAAAAATAAATATCCATCTTTAAATAAAGCCCTATAAGCATGTCGTTTACTGACACAGCTTTGAAAGTACAAAATACGTATGTACAAACAAATATAAGTAGTCCGTTTACTCAAAAGAAGACTTATAACGCTTTCACCATTCCCCATCGCTTGGCTGTAAGTTTTCGAATAAAACGGTATAACATTGCACAAACAGACAACAACACTAAGCAAGCCAGCTGCACGGTGAAAACTTTCACTTTGCCAAGCTGTCGATAAAGATGTAGATTCTTTTCTTGTCCTGCAGTCAGCCCGAAAGTGGGCGAAACTTGTTAAATAAGACTTCTAAATTCATTTGCTCCATACGCAACTTAACACCGAGAAAAACCCAAAGCGGCATCAAAACTTTTTGGCCCCGACAAAAAAGTGCAGGACGATGAAAGAAAAACAAAAATGACAGCACCAAAGCCATTGTACCCTACCCAATCGAATTATCTGATAAAAAAAACAAAATGATATATATTTTTATTTGAATGTATTCCTTATATTTACACATGAAAATGTAAAATAAAAATTTTAGAAAAATAAAAAAAAGATGATGAGAAAGTAGTTCGACTTCCTCGTTAGTGTCTTAAAATGTGCGAAACACAATAAACAACTTCATCAAATGCTTGTGGCTGCAATTCCCCGCTGTTGTAGCTTGTGCAAATATTTTCGGCTATCCCGAAAGCGCAAAGAAAATAAAGGAGTCTGAAAAACTTTGCGCTGGGCGGCAGCTTAAATAAATAGAGTGGGTGGCAAAAGGGGAGGGAAGGCCAAAGGCATCACAATGGTCGTCGCCGCCGCTTGGCCACCTAAAACTATGCAACACTTTCTCAACTTCCCCTCTCAACCCCACACCATGCCTCTCTTCATTCGTGATCCCTTACAAGTTTTGTTTCTTGTGCATTTTCATTAAATAGTGTTGTTCGCCATTGTTGCCGACGCTGTACTTTGCATATTTTAACTGCTTATAGCTCGTTCTGACACGCCTTCGTCATACAGTTCTGTGCAAATGGAAAGGGGCGGTGGGTTGGCGGTGATGTTACCCAGAACATTGTAATAAAAAACAAACTTTCTTTTCGCTGGCAAAAACTACTTTCTTCTGGCTTATTATCATGTTGCGGCTGCTTGTCATTTGTTTATTGTTTTACTAAGGTAAACAGGGGGATATTCGGGGCAAGGTAGCAAAGTTTTTCGAGGAAATTGTCTAAATCCAAACTTTTATAAATTTGTATCAAAAGTATACGAATTAGTATTTTGGACATCTAAAAACAAACCATATTTTAAATTATTATATCCCTCTATTTTATAAAGCTGACTACAAATTATGCAATTAGTTAATTCTATCAGTTTCTCTAAATTTAGTGCGATGATAAATATTTTTTAATGTTTAAATGTTGTCTATATACATTTATATTGAAAATTTTAAAGATTTTAAAATAATAAACATATATATTATGATCTTAATGTACTGCTTTTTGTCTTTAGAACAGCTATTAAGCATTTGTTCAATAAATTAAGGTTTTTTTTTTTATTTTTCTTGTTTCGAGTGAGAGAAACTGTTTATTTTTTAGCCTAACTTGTTTCCTCAGTGTAATTGCACTTAAATTGTGAATCACATTGAAGCTGTCATTGCGAATTCAGCAGCGAGCAAGAACACGAAATATTCCACGATTTAGTTTCGCCAAGGACAATCTGGCGGAGCAAGTGCATTTGTTCGCGATGTAATTTGTTTCATTGCCAATTGTCTTGTCTTGTCGTGTCCCGTCTTCTGGCTGGCTTTTTATGACCCTTGCCAACGGCGGGCTTTATGGCCCAGACGCGACCACGCCCCAAAAAGTCGGCTAGCACCAGCTGCAAATGCGGCCAAGTCCAACTGTCTGCCACTGGACTCTTGACGGCTGTCGAGGGGTTTCCTAACTTAATTTGCAACACTGCGATGGCAGGACTTTTAGGTGTGGCCAGCAGTGAGGTAAACACTTTGTTGCCGGCTTTCCGCTGTTCTCATCTGGCTTAATTGGCTTATGATGTCAATCCTCCCCTCCCGTAGCTCGGTGTCTGTGCTCCCCGGCCATTGAAATAATTATTACAAATAACTATTCAGCGCGTTCAAGTGTTGCACAATTAAGTGTCATTAGCGAAAAATGCAGACACACTGTTGAGTACGTATATTTAGACTAATCCCAGTGCCCGAGGGACTTTCGGAGCTCGCTGTTTGCTGTTTGCTGTGGGCATTTAATTAGCATCAAATTACTTTCATTCACACTCCAATGCGTGCGGGCATATGTTGCACCTTTCAGTCCCGCCCTCAGTTTTATTTCCCCATTCTCTGGCCTGAAGGGGAAATGAATTTGCGAAGCTCATTTATGGTTAATTAATCCATGCGAT